AGAGGATTCTAGAAAGATGGGAGTCCCAGCCTACTGGGCTGCAGGCAATGACAGAAAGTGCTTAATAAGTCAAAATAATGATATTATATACCCAGCAAAGTGAAAATATACCCAGAATCTGCCTGCTTCTTCCCACCTCTACTTTCACCCGGCCTCATTGCTGGCCTGGACTAGTGTAGTAGTCCCCTCCTCCTCCTCTCCTGGCTTCCACCCTCAACACCCCCCCACACACACAGCTGCCAGAAGTAGCTCCTGTTCCAGGAAGAATTCTATGAAACCTGAGTTTTTTAGTCTGACCGCTACATACTACCCTTCCCCATTGTCAGCCCAGCCCCAATGGACTATTAATTATTTGCAGTCCAACTTGCTAATTTCTTCTGCTCTCACTTGTTTTCTGGGTCATTTCTTGTCTCCCTGGCTCCATGTTTTGAAGGCAGAGCCTATGAACTCTTACTCGTCCTGCAAAACCCCAGCTCCAATGGCCCCCTTTCCACAAAGCTTTCTCTGACCCTCCCAAGCAGAATTCTCAGTTTCCCCCATCTGGGCTGCTCCTCTTTCTGTCTAGCCCTGTCTAGGTTATCTGTGCCCAGCCCCACCTTGCTCCAAAGTTCTGGACTCCAGTTACAGACGGGACTCTGAGCATGAAAAGTGCATCCTGCCTCGTACAGGTCTGGAGGGAGGCATTTGGTTTTGGGATGGCGAGATTTACAGTTGGTACTGGAATCCTTCGAGAGCTGGGGCTTCTGTTCCTCCCGGTCCCTCCAGCAGTAATGCCCTAGCCCAGCAGCCCTAGAGACCGCCTGAACATCCTTGGTTACTACAGCCCATGGACCACCTGGGCCTTCTGCAGGGAGTGTGTGTATGGGAATGAGTCTGTCCATAGACGTAGCCTGAGGGTCAGTCTGTTCCAGCCTGCAGGCCTACGTCTGGCCCTGTGACTTCAGTGGGTCAGACGGAATGTCCATGGATCTCTGCACTGCCTGGTGTCCGGGGCCTGCCCAGGGTGGGCGGGGTGGGGACCTACCTCTGTTTTCGCTCTAGGCTCCAAGAGGACATGGCGGCCTCTCTCTTTTCCATCCAGGTTCCCTTGGTCTGGCAAGGTGGCCTTATACCTGCCTGGGCTGGGGACAGGGGCACCAGCCATTGGGAAGTCTCCACCCACATCCTGTTCCCGTTAGTGGCTGGACCTGAGCCAGGCAGGGGAAAGGGAGGGGTCAGGATTGCAAAATTGCTTCCTGGCAGAGGGAGGACAGAAGGTGGACTGCCCACCGCCTTCTCGACCCTGTTTCTACCTAGTTTTTCTTTTCCCTGAGTCCTGCTTTTGGGGAGTGGGTACCCAAGAGTCTCTGAGGCTGAGTCCCCACTTTCCCCAATCTAGGAATCAAGGGTCAAGTTTGTAAGGCGCCAGTCTGTCCTGGGAGATGGGGACAGCTCTTTGAGCAAGAGGTACTATTTATAATAAATTTGAGCAACCAGGAAGCTCAGTGAAGAGAACAAAAAAACACTTGTCTTATATTCATAACATATTCTTATTTTTTTTTAGTAAAATAATTTTTAAAAAAAGAATTCAAAAGCAAGTGATGCTAAAAGTCTCCACAGTCTTTGAACAATGGTCTGGGAGGGACTAAACCTGGTTCTGAATCCCAGCTCTTCTGTGACTGCTCTGTTTTGTGAACTTGGGCAAGTGGCTTAACTTTTCTTGGCCGCAGTTTCCCTATCTGTGAAGCTGAACTCGGTCTCCGAGAGCCCCTTCCATTCTTTCTTTCTTCAGCTGAAGCTGATGTGCTATTTGTTTTGGACTTTTCTCATCTCCTAATAAGTGCATCTGAAGGCTCACACTTCCCTCTGAGAACTGTTTGACTGCATCTCACAGGTTTGGCTATTCAGTGCTTAAATTCTTGTTGAGTTCTAAACATTCAGGTGTGATGTATTACCCTTATCCGCATGCCTGGCTATGGCCTCTTTTTCCCAGCCCAATCTCTGAAGGGTTTTGTCCCTATTCAGCTGTGAGGATGACTAAGCATTCTGTCTTAGTGGACATACGGGCTGAGAGGGAAACACACAGGCTGGCATAGACCGGCACAGATAAAGAAAGACAGATAACCACCTGCGTGAAATACACGGACATACATAGTGACCAAGAGACAGGGAAAAACACATAGACCCAGAGACACAGACAGGGCAGGACACACAGGAGAGAACAACATATCTGCAGAGATGGACACACAAAAACAGACACACACACAAACAGGAAAAGGACCTGAGTAGACGTTTTTCCAAAGAAGACATACAAATGGCCAACAGGTACATGAAAAGGTGCTTGACATCACTAGTCATCAGGAGAATGCAAGTCAAAACCACAACGAGATGTCACCCACACCTGTTAGGATGGCTTCATCAAAAAGACGAGATAAGAAGTGTTGTGAGGGTGTGGAGAAAGGGGAACCCTTGTGCACTGCTGGTGGGAATGTAAATTGGTGCAGTAGGGAGTTTCCTCAAAAAAAAAATTAAAAATAGAACTACCATATGATCTGGCAATCTCACTTCTGGGTATGTATCCAGAGGAAATGAAACCAGTATCTTGAAGAGATATCTGCCCTCCCGTGTTCATTACAGTACTATTCACAATAGCCAAGACGTGGAAACAACCTAAGTATCCATTCACAGATGCATGGATAAAGATGTGGTGTATATATGCATAATGGAATATAATTCAGCCATAACAAGGAAGCAAATCCTGCCCATTTGGGACAACATGGATGAAACTTGAGGGCATTATGCTAAGTGAAATAAGTCAGGCAGAGAAAGACAAATACTGAGTGATCTCAGTTATGTAAAATAACCAAATTCATAGAAACCAAGAGTAGAATGGTGGTTGTCAGGGACTGGGGGGGTGAGGGAAAGGGAGAGATGTTGGTCAAAGGATATAGACTCCTGGCTATAAGATGCATAAGTCCTGAGGATGTAATGTACAGCGTGGTGATTAGTTAACAAGACTGTACAGTATACTTGAAAGATGCTAAGAGAGTAGATCTTAAATGTTCTTACCACACACACACAAAGTAACTATGTGAAGTAATGGATGTGTCAAGCTTATTGGGATAATTATCTTACAATATATATCAAACATATCATCAAGATATGCACCAGAAACCTACACAATCTTATATGTCAAATATATTTCAATCGAGCTGAAAAAACAGACACACAGGTACAGGAGGAGCTGCTAGATGCCGTCATGGTGTTTTGTGTTTCTTTGTTTCAATCAGTCTCCCCATGATAAGCGGTGGACAGGGGTTCTGTCCTGTTCATTGTTCTATCCCCAGAGCCCAGCACACAGTAGGTGCTTAATCGACATGGGCCGGAAGAGTTGTGAATTGTAGTGACATAATGATAAAGTGATCTCTTAAAGTGAAATCAGATCATGTCCCCTGCTTAAAACTCTCTGATGGCTTCCTGTCCCACTTAAAATTCATAAGGCTGGAGGGAGCAGGGAGTGGGGAGTTAGTGTTTCATGGGGACAGAGTTTCAGTTTGGGAAGATGAGCAAGTTCTGGAGATGATGGTGGGGATGGTTGTCCAACAGTGTGAGCGTGCTTAGTGCCACTGAGCTGTGCACTTAAACATGGTTCAAGTGGTAAATTTGATCGTATATGTTATTTACCACAATTAAAAAAAAAAATTGTACTCCTCACTGGTGAGGCCCTGCCTGCTTGGGGCCCTGTGCTCCTCTCCCTCCTTATCTCCAGCTGCTCGCCTTTCACTCACCTAGTGTGGCTGCTCCAGGCATACTAATGGCCTGGGCCCTCCTCCAAGCTTCCTACCTACCGCAGGGCCTTTGCACTGGCTGTTCCCTCTGCCTAGAACACTCTGCACATCTCCCCACAGCTGCTCCTTCTAGCCCATCTTATTTCAGCTTACATGTCACCTCCTCTGGCAGGCTCTCCTCAACTCCCCCCCACCATACACAATCACCCCCTACCTAACACATTATCTGGCTTTTTCTTTATTACACATATCGCTAATTCAAATCAAGTCCTAATTTGCTTTTATGCGGTTGGTCTTCCCCATTAGGCTGCGAACTCCATGAGGACAGGGGTCTTTGTCTCCACACGGTAGGTGCATAATAAATTTTTGCTGAAGGACCAGAGACTGGCCCCCATCCAGATGAAGACTGGGACCCCCGCGACTCTCCACATTTCCACACCCAGCTCCCCATCATTCTGTTTGCTGCAGTGACCCAGCCAGGACTCTCCCAGGTGCTCCCAACTGCCCCAGGCCAGGCCAGGCCAGGCCACTGTCCAAGTCCCACCCCCAGGAGACAGAGCAGACCCAGAGCCTTGGGGGCCGGTGGTTGTAAACAGTTTTATTGACAGGGGGTTGGGGGAGGCAAACTCCAGAGAGGGTCCAGGACTCTCAGCTGGCCACTCAGCTGGCATGCATGGTCAGCTGGAGGTCAAGGGGGAGGTCACAGAGGATGGGTGGCATGGGACCCTCTGACCACCCTGGGGCCATATTTACAGGGGGGCCCGCCCGCCTTCGCCATCTCCCAGACCGCCCGAGCCCTTAGACAGCCGCCAATACGACTTCTGGGCAGGCCGTCCTGACCCCCTGCCTGAAACCCCTGCCTCATCACCCCTCAAACTCCTAACCGGCACCTTGGAGGCCCCCGGCTTTCTGGAAGCCCCGGCGTCGGCTCAGCCAACGCCCAGGCCGCTGGGGCCTCCGCGCTCGCACACAGACACACACACCGCACGTGGCCGCCCCCACGCACACGCCGCAGCAGCCCGCGGGCACACGCGCACGCCTCCCTCCCCTTCCCGGCCCCTTGCACACGGACACGGCATGCACGCGCGCGCGCACACACACACACACACACACACACACACACATACATACATACATGCCGGGGGCCGGGTCGAGGAGGGACCTCTGGGTGGGGCGGGGGCGGGGAGCTGGGGGAGCTGGGGTCTGCAGATGTGCCCCCTCCCCTTCCCACCGCCAAGCCCCCGGCCGCCACCCCGAGAACGGAGTTGTGCAATTGGTTAGAAAACTGCAAAAGAAACGCAAATTGGAAAACAAACCAAAAATCCACGCGCAGAAGGTCAACCTCAAATCCACAGCACATTCCGCCCGCCCGCCCGCCTGCCCCAGACCGCCTCAGGGTCCTGCGGCCCCGGGGCGCGGCGGGGCGGGGAGCCGAGCCCCTTGTGCTTCCGGGCGGCGGAGGGCGCCCCCCACCCCGCGCGGCTGGGCCGGGGGTCTGAGCACCCACTCGGAGCTGGCCCGGTCTCTCGCTCCTGGTTCCCGTGGCTGGCACCGCCGAGGCGCGCGGCCCCGGCCTAGGGCACGGGGGGCGCAGTCCTGTCCGGGCCCCCGTACGAGAGGAGGTGGGCCAAGTCCGTGCCGGGCCGGGTGTGGCGGCCGCGGGGCCGGGCCTCGCCGCTGTTGATCGTGTGCGTGCGGCGCAGCGCGGCGGCGGGCGGGGCGTGCGCGCCCGGCCTCCGGAGGCTGCCGGTGGGCGGTGGGCTCCAGGGCCGAGGGAGGCCGTCGGCGGCGGAGCTCGGGTCCAAGGGGCCCGTGGGCGCCGACACCACCCGCCGGCGGTCCGGGCTGGCGTGGGGGGTGAGCGGGAAGTCGCCGTGGGAGGCGCGGCCGGGCCGCGCGACGAAGAGGCGGGCGTCGGGGGCCGGCTCGCCGGGCGCGGGGGAAGCCTCGGGGACGCGGGCAGGGGCCAGCAGCAGGAGGGAGGATGAGAGGGAGGCTGTGAGCAGCGTGTGGCCGTGCTCCCAGGCGCGAGGGCCCAGGGCGTGCGGGTGCGGGGTGGGCAGGCGCTTCTGGGGCAGCGGCGTCTGCTCGGGCGTGGGCAGCAGCCCCGAGTCCAGGTCGTGGGAGCCGCCCTGCAGCAGCGTGGCCTTGGCCCACCCGTTCTGCATCAGGGGCGCCAGCAGGGCCTCGGGGGGAACCCCGGGCCCGCCGCCGCCCCCGGCCCGGCCCCCGGGGCCGCCCGCCCGGCGCTCGCCCAGGCGGCTCACGCTAAGCACGGCCTCGCCGCCCCCGTGCGCCAGGATGCCCTCCTTGTCCTTGCGGCGGGCCAGCTCGCGCCGCTCGCGGAGCCCCACGTACCAGCCCACGCTGAAGCCGGACACCACGGCGCCCACCACGAAAGCCGCCACCGACGACGTCACCAGCAGGTTCACCGACACCAACCCGGCGCGCTCCTCCGAGAGGCTGGCCCCTAGGAGTCCTGGCCCGGAGGGTGGCGTGTGAGGGGCCCGGCCGGGACGGTCCCTGCGCACCTCTCGCAGCCTCCGGCTGGTCTACGCACTCAACGTCTGTCTGCTTCTCTGCTTCGTGGCGCCTCTCTGACCCTTTCAACGCCCGTCTGCCCATCTCTTTGTCCCCTGGCGTCTGTCTTAAAGTTTGTCTGCCCATCTGTCTCCTGGCCTCTCTCTCTGCGGTCCCCAGCGCCCCCTCGCCATCTGTCGGTCCTTTTCCCACCTCCCTACCTGGAAGTGGGGCCCCCTGCCCTTCCCAAGCCCTGACGGTAGCCAGTACCGCCCCCCCCCCCCGTGTTGGGCATGGGCGGCAGAGGGTGTGAGAACCCTGGAGGACCAGGACTCTGAGTCCCCAGGCCTCCTCCCCTCTCCCTTGCTTACCTGTGCAGTCCCCTAAGCCTGAGGTGCTGGCCCCGGACACATCCTGCTCAAAGGTGGCTCTGATGAGGGCAGGGGGGCAGAGAGGCGCAGTCAGCAGAAACCTCTCGCACAGAGCTGTGGTTGGGGGGGTGGGAACTCCCGATCATCACGTGGGTCACATACCCGCCCCCCACCTCCCTCGTCCCCAGTACCTGGTGCCAGGGCTGAGGAAGATGCAGGAGCCATCCGGGGCCCAGCCGCAGTAGGGGTCCTGACTGCCAATACAGTTCCTGGAGCAGACAAGGGACCCGGAGGGCAGATCGACCACAGCCCCTTTTGAGGCACCTCTTACTGTCAACTCTGGGAGTTCTCAAGGTACGTCTTAGCGGTGGGGGCTATTTCTTCCCCATTTTACAGATGAGAAAACTGAGGCTCAGGAAAGTTTACTTTTGCCCAAGGGACAGAGCCAGGGTTGGAGCCCAGGCAGGCTTGCCCCTGAGTCTGTGCTTTGGGTGTGTGCTATGGCATCATTATTGCCAAGTCGGCGGGCACAGGGTCAGGTGCTCTCCAGTGTGTGGAGGGCACACTGTGAGTCCAGAGATGTGCCAGTGTTTTATCTGCATGTGATCTTCCCACCCATTTTATTTATTTTATTTGTTTTTTTGGCTGTGCCACGCGGCATGTGGGATCTTAGTTCCCCGACCAGGGGTTGAACCCATGCCCCCTGCAGTGGAAACGCGGAGTCTTAACCACTGGACCCCCCAGGGAAGTCCCTCCCATCCATTTTAGAGGCAGACAAACAGCTGTCTCCCTGGTCCCCAGCTTCTGCTCCTGATGCTCTTAGAAATGTCAATCACATCCCATCCTGCTCTGCCCATAGACCTCCAGGGCTCCCACCTCACTCCAGGGGTGGGGGAAGGAGCCCAAGTACTCCCCACAGCCCACAGACCCTGCACGACCTACCCCCGGCCCCGTCCCCTCCCTGACCTCCCCTCCTCCCTCTCTCCCCCTCGCTCATTTTGTTCCAGCTATACAGGCCCCCTCTCTGTTCCGCCAACACACCAGGCCCAGTCCTGCCCCAGGGCCTTTGCACATGTTCTGCCCGCTGCCCTGCTCATGGTTCAGTGAGTCAGGATGCTGTTGGGGCCTGGACTTGAACTTGACTCTCTCCCTCTTCCTGTGCTCACCTCCCCTCACTTCCCCTGCCCACAGCTGGCCCAGGAATACTCACTTCATGCATCCTGAGTATTGCTGGCAGCGCGCCACGGGCACTCGGACCACACAGCGGGGGAAGGCCGCCAGCAGGCCACCCGAGGCCGCATCCAGCTCCAGGCTCAGCAACCGCTGCCCTGTCTCGCCACCCCCAGAGCGTCCACACCTGGGGGTGAGCAGATTGGTAAGACTCAAGGGGCACGCCCTATCTCCCTGCCCACTGGCCCTGTCCCTTGACCTCTGCCCGGCCTCACCTGTCCGGCCGGTAAGTCTCAAACTCCTCCAGGAAGACACTGGGCCCGGTGGTGCCCGAGGCACTGGCGTTGGGCCAGACAAGGAACTTGAGGACAGTGCCCGCCTCAGAACCCAGGAAGACGACAGTCTGGTTGCCCCAGGGGCCGGCGCCCACGTCCACGGCCACTCGCGTCAGCTGGTACCTGGGGCCAGGGTTGGGCAGAGGTCAGGCTGCCTCCCAGCCCCCTGGGGTCCTGGGCGCACTCAGAGACACCACCCACGCCCAGCAAGGTGGACATGGGCGTGGCTCCAAGGGGGCACATCATGGAGAGAAACACACCCCCAAACCCGACTCCTACCTGGGCCTGCCTGTCTCTCTCCCTGTCTCCCTCCATCTCTTTGTGTCAGGTGGTCTCTCTCTCCCTCTCTCTGTTTCTCCCTCTTTCTGGGCATCCCTGGAGCCTCATGCCCAGCTGTCTTGAGTGTCCGGCTTCCCCCTCGTGTCCGAAGTTGGCCCTGTGCCTCCCTCCTTGCCCACCACCCTGGCCAGGGCTCTCCTTCCCACCCAGCCCGGCCACCAGGACCCCGGCCCCGTGTAGGGACTGACCGCATCAGAGTCCGAACAATCCAGGGTGCGTGGCCCAGTGAGGGCACTGCCTCGTCCATCAGGGGGTGTGTCTTGACGAAGTTGAGGATCTCGTCCGGGAAGGCGCTGGAGGCATTGTACTGCATGCCAGGAGCTGCACAGCACCCGGGCCTGGGTGGGGACGAGGGGGTGGTCACGGTGGACATGGAGGCCCCCACATAGGGGCTCTGATTCACCAGGGGACCTGCTGCCCTGCCCAAAGGGCCTCGGTTTTCCCCACCTGCATAATGGGTACAGCTGAACTCGGCAACAGCTATTGAAATAACTAACTGCCTGGAATTCCAAGCCCTTGGTCCAGGGTCAGGATCCTACCCAGGCACCTGTCTCAGGGTCGAGGGGGCTCTCACCGGGGCCGTGGCACCTGGTCCTCCGGCACGGGTGTCCAGATAGACTCAGGGGACTTCTGCTCACGGAAGCGGCCCTCAAACACGGCAGCCACCTGTGTCATGTCAAAGGCGCAGACGGCCGAGCCGGGGATGCTGTGGGTGGGGGCAGATGAAAGGGAGCAGTGAGCCTGGCCAGGTGTGGGGTGGGGGTGGGGGACTGCCCTGGGCAAGCAGGTGGAGGAGTGTTTGTCCTCCGGAGCTGTCACATGTTCAGTTCCCTGGGCCAGAGGTTGCTGCCCCCCCCCACCATCCAGTCCAGTCACTTCACCTGCTGAACAGTTCTCAGGCTGGATCGTAGTTCAGCCCCTCCACAGCTACCCGCGTCCAGGCCCCCCCTTGTCACTTGCCTGCATATCCAGTCTCCCAGGTGCCACCCTTGCTCCCTTTCAACCCATTCCCCAGGGAGTTTTCCAAAAATGCAAACCTGACCTGGTCCCTCTTCTGCTCCTTACTCTCCCATGGCTCCCTAGTGCTCTCAGGATAAAATCCAGGCTCCTCCCCACAGCCCATCACCTCCCTGCCCTCATATCCTCCGCTCTCCCCCTTGCTTCCCTCCAAGCCAGCCACACGGGCCTCCTCCCTATGGTTTAAACATAGCAAGCTCATTGCAGCCTCAGGGCTTTTGCACAGGCTGTTCTTCCAACTTGGAATGCTCTTCCCGCTTCTTCCATCTCACAACCATTGATGCCTCCTCCAGAAAGCCCTCCCCGACCCCTCCTCCAAAGGCAGAGGATGGGGACGCCCCCCCACCCCCATCTGCCAAGTTCTGGCCAAAGGGCCTTGGAGGGTCAGTGTCTGGCTTGGTGCCCCCTGGCCTGGGACCGAGGCTTCCCGGGAGTCGAATCTTGCCCAGTGCAGGACCCAGGGGATATGTGGTGAGGTGACATGGGAACTCTCCACCTGTGCCCACCCGGTGCTCCCAGTCTGCTCCCGACGGTGCCCGCTGACCTGTTGCTGGGCGTGGAGAAAACAGCAAGGACCACGGGCCGGCCCCCCAGGCTGACCACGCCCGTGACGGCCCGCAGCACGTTGAAGTAGAAGTGGGAGTCCCCTGGCACCGAGCAGTTGAGCCGTGCCTTCAGGAACGACGTCCACTGCTTCTCCAGCACGCGAGGGGAGCCGCCCACGTCATTCTTGCACACCCGGGCCACACGGGACACCACCACCTGGCACATCAGCAGGCGGGGGGTGGGGGTGGGGGCTGAGCCCTGTGTTCTGCAAGGCCTGCCCGCAGGTCACACTGCCCGCTACCCAGGATGGGATGCAGGAGCCTGGCCCTGGGTCGCTGTGGGTGCCCCAGCCAGTCACCTTAGCCCCCTGAGCACCAGATTCCCCAGCGAAATGTGGGGATGACGAAGATCACAGCCACCATGACAAGCATAATCATCATTGCTCCCACTTCCAGATGACTCATTAAGTACCGGGCACTTTATCCTCCTCATCTCTCACGTTCCTCCCAAAGCTCTACAGAGGAGGGCCTACTGATATCCCCGGGGTACAGAGGGGAAACCGAGGCACAGCGAAAGGAAAGTGACCGAGGCCCAAGGTCACACTAGTAGTAAGTGGCAGTCTGTGCACTTAAATGTCTCCGTGGATTGAGGGATGGGATGGATGTATGGATGGATCAGTGGATGGATGGATGAATTTGAAGGACACAGTGATGGACAGTGAAGGTAAGGAAGAAGGAGATAATCAAGGGATGGATGAATGGGTGTGTGGATGGATGGGTGGCTGGCTGGATGGTTGGATGAGTAAATGGGTGTGAGTCTGCATGAATGGATAGATGGGTAGATGAATGGGTGGGTGGGTGGGTGGATGAAAGGATGGATGGGTGGAGAGATGGATGTGAGTGTGGATGAGTGGGGAGAGATGGGTAGAGGAATGGATGAATGGCTGGATGGAAAGGCAGATGAAGGAGGTAATGACAGATCAGTGGATGGGTGGATCCATGGGTGGATAGAAGGTTGAATGGAGTGGATGAGCAGGTGATGAGGAGGAGATGGGATAGACAATTGGATTATGGAGGGGTGGGCAGGTAGGTGGAGAGATGGATGGTAGATGGATGAGCTGATCAGTAGGAGGATAGCTCAATGGATGGTTAGGTGTATGAATGAATGGACAGGTAGGTGTATGAATGGATAAAGAAGTCAGTGAGTGGGAGGTGGGTGGATGGATACATAGGTGCATGGAAGGGTAGATGAGTGGACGGATGGATGGAGGACGGCTGAGTCGGGGGGTGGGCGGATGGATAGGTAAGTGGTTTGACTGGAAGTGTGGGTGGGCTGAAGAACAGATAGGTGGGTAGGTGAGAGGGCGGTTGAGTGGGAGAGTGAGTGGGCAGACAGATGGGCCGTTGAGGAAGGATGGATAAATGATGGTAGATGGGTGGGTGGACAGGTGAACAGCAACGGCACTGGGACTGGAATCAGGGGTGTATCTGACTTCAGACCCGGGACCCTCACCCAGGGCTGCTCCAGAAATGTCTTCAAGCCCCAGGGGCCTGGACCCGGCTAGAGTGGAGGGCCCTGAGGACCAGAGGGACCCTCTCGCCCCAGGTGGAGTTTCATGGAACCACCTCTGCTCCCCACTTCCCGTGATCAGAGCCTCTCAGCTGCATGCCCCACTGCCTGGGCCTCTTTGGGAGGGGAAATAGGGCCCTACCTTTTCCAGGTAGTTAAACTCCATTGCGATCTCCCGGAAGAAAAAGTAGATGTGGCTGCCCCACTCCACCACGTGGACAAAGTAGGGCTCTGTAGGAGACGAGGGGTCGGAACTCAGCCCGTGACAGGAGAAAGGGAGTTTCTGGGGCTGGGAACACAGTAGCCTGGGTGGCTGCTTTTACAGTGAAGGGGGGGAATATAAGCTGATTACCCAGGCAAAATAAAAGAGACTGAAGTTTTGGGGGTTTTTTGGAGGGAGTAGGTGTCAGAATCCTAAAGTCACCGTGTCTTCTTTCCACAGACAGCAACGTCTACTCTTTTGTCACCTTCCTCCTTCATGTGCTGAGCTGAGCTCCTACCATACCGCTCATGCTGTTCCATTTCAGGTTACTAAGCCACCCATTTCCAGCAGGTTCTACTTTAGATCCAACTTAAATCTTTCCTCTAACTTTATCTTCAAAGAGGCTAGTAGGTTCCAAAGATGAGATGGGAGTTCCCTGCCTGTCTTCTCTGGGACTGTTATTCTGGTGGGGGAATTTGATGAATGTCAGCCCTACCAGGTCTGCCCCTATCGCCCCACCTTTGAACCACTTGGAGTCGTGTTTCACGGTGCGCAGAGTGGGCCGGTCCCCGAGGCTGCGGTAGATGACGGCGTCGATGGCTAGGAAGTCGGTAACGGTGGCTGTGAAGAGCATCCCTTCTGGATGGGGGTGAGTCAGGGGGAGGCAGGTGAGAGATTAGATCATAGAGGCCGGAGGCTGGGTGGGTCAAAACTTGACTTCAAGACTGAGCCCTGAGCCTAAGTGAGCCCTAAGCCCCAGGCTGAGCCCCAACCCTGCCAAGGCCCTGACTTCAGGCTGATCCCCAACTCCTCAGCTCATCCCCAACCTCGGCTGAGCCCTGCCCTTGAGATTCTGCCTGTTTCATAGCTGGAGAGATGGTCTCCCAGCCATCTTCTAAATGACCTGACTCCAAGAGTGGAAAATGCCATGTCTTGCTGTGGACTGGGGCCCCATCAGATGGTCAGAGTTGGGGGCACTCACCAGAGAAGAGGGCAACATTGGCGTGTTTGGGGTCGTATGGGCAGCGGGCCATGCCACTGATGTTGTCCCCGAGGGGCTGCAGTGTGTCCATCTGCAGGGGGGACAGGGACTGAGTGACAGAGCTCCTGTCTATACCTAGCAGCCCCTGGCTCCCCCAGCCACCCTCTCCAAGGGGACTCCTGGCACCACCTTGGATGTTGTGTGACTTGGTCAGTCATTTAACCTCTCTGGGACTCAATTTACTGATCTGTAATAAATGAGTCTGAATCGATCCTAATTCATCCTATAACTGGTTTGTAGTTTAAGTTGCTGCAGCCTGTACAGGCCTCCTTTGGAAGCCTCCTCAGGAGCTCCGGGTGAGGGGTCTGGGAGGGCATATCCAGTAAGGCTTCCTGTAGGAGATGATGTGGCCTGGGGATAGGGCATGACCAGTGGAGGGCCAGTGAGCAAAGGCGTGGAGGTTGAACCTGGGGCAGTCAGGGCTTCGAAGAGCGGTGACTCACGCTGTAGTTGGCACACACGGGGTTGAAGGCATTGGAACCACACACGAAGAGGGTGGATTCGTCCCGAAGTAGAAGCACCTTTACAAAATTTCGACACTCGCCCTGGATTGGGGCGTCGGGAAGAGAGAAGCCAGGGTGGGTGTGGTCACGGGTGTGGGCGGGGTCAGGAAAGAGGCGGGGCCTGCAAGGAGGGGCCAGGGATGTGGGCACGGCAAAATCAGGGGGCTAAACTAGGACTCGGCTGGGGGCGAGGCCATGACTAAGGGAGGGGCCCAGGCAGGGAAATAGGGCACTTGAAGGGGTGGAGCTATGGCAAGACGAGGGCTAAGGGCACGGCCACGACTGAGGACCACCTTGGGGGTGTGGCCAGGCTCTGGGAGTAGCCAGGGCAACACCAGGGCCCTGGCTTAGAATGAAAGCAGATTTGCCCTGGGGGGTGGCCAGGACGGATTGGGGCGTGGTTGGAGGCGTGGCCAGGGCCCACTTACCTCCTGCTTGCCCTTCATCCGACACACGTTGATGTCGCTGGGGTTGGAGCGCCAGGTCAGCTTCTGGGACACAGAGAGCTGGTGAGGTGAGCGGGGTCCTTGACAGCCCTAGGAACCCTGCTAGGGAGGCCCGAATCCACCTTGCTCCCCAGCTCAGTGTCTGGGCCCCCTGGCGGGAGCCCCAAGCATTGCCCCCTCCCCTCCCTCCTGCACCCCCTCCTCACCCGCTGGTACCGCAGCTCCATGGACGTGGGGGGCTCCAGCTCCACCCGGTACAGGTTGTCCCTAGAGGAGGGGTGTAGTTAATGAGATCGGAGAGCCTCCCCTCCCCGCCCACTATTCTGACAGCAGACGTGAGGCCAACACGTGCCAAACAGGGGCGTGCCAGCGCCTCTGCCATGTGCAGCTCCACATGTGCATGCCCTGACACGCCTCCTCGTGCCCTAAAGTGAGCCACGGGTTCTGGCACACCCCACATGCCTTACCACGCCACCTCACGCTTACACACCCCATGGCCTACACCCAACACAGCGCATTGTCTGATGCCTTTACATCCGCTGTCCCCGTCTCAGCACCCCTCAGTCTCCCCCAGGCTCTCACCGCTCCCCCCATGCCACAGAAACTGCCCTAATCAAGGTCCCTGGCCCCTGTTAAGTCCAGCGGTCACTTCTCTGTCCTCCTCCCCCTCTCCACAGCGTCTCCCCCGGCCAGTCCACCCTCGTCCTGGGACCTCCATCCTCACTGGGTTCTTGGACCCTGCACTCTCCTGGCTTCCCTCCCACCTCTCCGGGCCCTCCTCTCTCCCTGGTGGGCCCACACCTGAGTCCTCTGGCCTCTTCCCTCCCCCATCCATACCCCTCCTGGGCCGCCTTGTTCACTCTCAGGGCTGGAACCACGTCTCTGCCCGGATGACACCCACAGTCCTGTCTCCAGCCAGGGCCTCCCCTGAGCTCCAGATCTGGGGTCCAGCTAACCCTCAAGGTCTCCACGAGGGGGCTCAAAGGTATCTCATACTCTGTCTCACACTCAGCTTGGCCACACGGCACCCGACCATCCCCCAAATCTGCTCATGCCCTGTCCACCATCTCGGCTGAGGCAGCTCTATCCCCACGACGTGGGAGTCACCTTCAACTCCCTTCTCCTTCCCTCCCAATATGTCACCTCTGCCTTCAGTATCTAGCGAGGGTTCACCCACTTCTCACATCCTCTATGACCACCACCCTAGTTCAGCCCCCATTACTGCCCACCTGGACCAACATTGTCCCCTCTGCCCTAGTCTAGTGGCTCCTGCCCTCACCAGTACAGTCTGTCCTCCCCCAGTCGCCACCAGAGGGCACCTGTGAGCACCCGAGTCAGGTCCTGTCCCTCCTCTGCCCACAGCCCTCCAGGGTCCCACCTCCCTTGGGGGTAAAAGCTCAAGTCCTCCCCTGCAGCCCACAAGGCCCTGCCCTCCCTGCCCCGTCCCCTCCCTGCCCTCCCCTCCTCCTTCTCTCCCCCTCACTCACTCTGCTCCAGCCACACGGGCCTCCTTGCTATCCCTCCACCTTTCCAGGCAGAGTCCGGCCCCAGGACTTTTGCACGGGCTGTGTCCTATGCCCTGACTTCTCCCTCTCCCTTAGATTTCCTTATAGCTGGCTCCTTATCAGTTCTCAACTCAAATGTCACCTTCTCAGAAAAGCCTTTGGGGTGCCACTTCAGCACCCCCTCTAGCACCCAGTGAATTTTGACCAAACAGCTGTCCCTACCTGGTAACACATCATAGCAAGCTCTGGGCTCCAACCACACCCAGAGTTCAGCACCCTTAAAAATCCCAGGGACACACATTCACACTCCAGCCAAACAACAGGCCCCAGCATGCAAACCTCCCTAAAATGCTACCACCTACTCCCCCACACCTCACCCTGCACACTCTGCCCGACAGTCCCTCGTACCTGTCCCCGATGAAGAGCGTCCTGTTGACCCGCAGAACCCGCTGGATGTTGAGATCGTCGGTGCCCTCTGCGGGGGTCAGGTGTCCTGGCCCGCTGCCCACGAACACGGGATAGTGGTTCAGGTCTGGGGGGAGGGCGAGGAGGGGTGTGATCCAGGGCCAGGGTGAGCCTGGCCTGGTGAGCCCCCGGGGGAGGGGGCAGCAGATCCAGCTGGGGAGCAAGACCCTCCCTCGGGACTCCCCCTCTCCAGGCCCCCCACTCACAGTCCCTGGGGGCCACGCTGAGTGGCGGCGGCTCCTCGGGGAAGAGGCCGTGGGAGCCTCCCAGTAGCAGCAGCAGGAGCAGTAGGGCCGGGCGGGGAGGGGGCGCTCGCGGAGTCCGCATGGCGAGGTCAGGGCGACAGGAGGTGACACCTGCAAGCGAGGGGCCATGCGGTGAGCCGTGTGGCTTGCAGTCCCCATTGCTGCCAGCAGAGGGAGCGCGAGAGCCGCGGCGGCGGGGACCTTCAATTTCCAGAAAAATTCCCCATTGGGGGGTAATCATTTAAAAATAACAACAATCATGGCAACAACAATAACACCAGCACTTATTAATTACCAGAACAACTTTCTGACCACATTTTAGTGAAAGCTCAGGAAACGGTTTCTAACAAAAAATGGATAATCATGAGAATATTTATTTTAAAAATTAAATGATTTTATATTAAAAATTAATAATAATAATAGATAAACAGGGACTTCCCTGGTGGCGCAGTGGTTAAGAATCCGCCTCCCCAAGAGGGAAGAGATATGGGGACATATGTATATGTATAACTGATTCACTTTATTATAAAGCAGAAACTAACAACACCATTGTAAAGCAATTATACTCTAATAAAGATGTTAAAAAAAAAAGAAGAATCCGCCTCCCAGTGCAGGGGACACGGGTTCGAGCACTGGTCCGGGAAGATGCCACGGAGCAACTAAGCCCGAGCGCCACAACTCCTGAGCCTGGGCTCTAGAGCCCACGAACCATAACTACTGAGCCCACGTGCTGCAACTACTGAAGCCCGCGCGCCTAGAGCCCGTGCTCCGCAACAAGAGAAGCCACCGCAATGAGAAGCCTGTGCACCGCAGCGAAGAGTAGCCCCCGCTTGCCGCAACTAGAGAAAGCCCGCGCACAGCAACGAAGACCCAACGCAGCCAAAAATTAAATAAATGAATAAATAAATAAATTTTTTAAAAAAAAGAATTCTTAGAGTTAAAACACAAAAACCTTAAAATGAAAGTCTCAAAAACCAAAAATTCAAAGGCTCTTGGAATTTTATAAACCACAATCTGGGAACTGCAGTACTTTAGAATAGCAGAATATTCTAGCTGGCCAGGGACCTCAGAGGGCCCGGTAAGTCTGACTTCCTTCCCGATAACAGCCTTTCTGTCCTCTCCTGGAATACCTCTGTGACAGGAGCCTCACGACCTCTTCAGGGGGCCTGTTTCCCGCTCCCGCTCAAGGGAATTTGGAGAAACTTCCAGGTGTGTAGAGTGGAGACCACCCCCCACCCGTCCCAAGTGATGATCTGGTGGGCGGTGTGAACAGAACTCACCCTCTGGAACCCAGCCCTCCACGCCCCTCCCAGAAGGAGTGCAGTCCGGAGGCCCCAAGAAGACACCCGCAGCCTCTGGGCAAGCCCCGTGCCTCAGTTTCCCCGTCTGAGCAGCAGGTACCTCTCCGAGCCCTGCCCCCAGCCTTGGGGTGCGGGGATCCCGAACCCGTGGAGGTGGACGCGAGGCGGGAACTTTGGCCCTGGAACGCCTGCCTCTGAGGATTCAGGGCCAAAAAACAGGAAGGCCTTGCGTGGAACAGCGAAGTTTCCTCTCTGTGACCCTGAACTTCCAGGATTTGTGACTCAGCGGACGCCAGGATCTCACGTGTGCGCGGATCTGGCTCTACTTCCTTAAGAGTTTCCTTCCCCGACTCCTCCCCTTCTTAGCAACGTCCCGTGGCTCCCAGCGACCCCCGAGCCAGGCCCCAGACACTGCATTCAAGACCCACAACGGGATCACCAGCCCCGCTGCTGCCTACCCCAGCCTACAAGCTTCCTCTTTACAACACCTGCCGGGGCACCCCGCCTCTGGTGTTCTGTCTGCTCTGTTTCTTCTCTTTGTTTTAAAAGATTGATTGATTGATTGATTGATTGATGTATTTATTTACCTGCCGGGGCACCCCGCCTCTGGTGTTCTGTCTGCTCTGTGCCTTCTTATTTTTTTTTAAGATTTATTTATTTACTTATTTATTTTTGGCTGCGTTGGGTCTTCGTTGCTGGGCGCTGGGCTTTCTCTAGTTGCGGCGAGCGGGGGTTACTCTTCCTTGCGGTGCGCAGGCTACCAATTGCGGTGGCTTCTCTTGTTGCGGAGCACGGGCTCTAGCTGCGTGGGCTTCAGTAGTTGCAGTGCGTGGGCTCAGTAGTTGTGGCTCGTGGGCTCTAGAGCACAGGCTCAGTAGTTGTGGTGCACAGGCTTAGGTGTTCCGCGGCATGTGAGATCTTCCTGGACCAGGGCTTGAACCCGTGTCCCCTGCATTGGCAGGTGGATTCCTAACCACTGCACCACCAGGGAAGTCCCTAAACATTTTTTTTTAACATTGTGGTAAAATGTATAACAAAGTTTGCCATCTTAACCATTTTTAAGTGGCACTAAGTATATTCACATTCTTGTGCAACCATCCTCACCATCCACCTCCAGAACTTTCTCATCTTCCCAAACTGAAACTCTGTCCCCATTAACTTGACTTCCCATCCCCTCCCCCAGCCCCTGGTCCGCACCATCTACTTCCTGTCTCTATGGCTGTGACTCCTCCAGGGACCTCACACAAAGTAGAATCAGACAGTATTTGTCCTTTTGTGTCTGGCTTATTTCACTGACCATCATGTCCTCAAGGTTCATCCATGTTGTAATGAGTGTCAGAATACCTTGACTTTTTAAGGCTCAGTAATATTCCACTGTGTGGATAGACCACATTTTATTTATCCATTCGCCTGTTGATGGACACTGGGGCTGCTTCCACCTTTTGGCTATGTTGTGAATGGGTGTGCAAACATTTCTTTGAGACCCTGCTCTCAATTCTTTTGGGTGTATGTGCAGGCGTGGAATTGCTGGATCGTATGGTGATTCTATGCTTAACTTTTGGAGGAACTGCCATGCTCTTTTCCAAAGCGGCTGCACCATTTTACATTCCCACTGGCATTGCCCATGCGTTCCAATTTCTCCTGCCAACACTATTTTCTGTTTTTTGATAGTAGCCATCCTAATGGGTGTGAGGTGGTGCTCTGTGCCTTTTACCCCATGTCTTATCAGAATAATTTTTTTTTTTTCTCCTTCCTTTGGTACGCGGGCCTCTCACTGCCATGGCCCCTCCCGCTGCGGAGCACAGGCCCCGGACGCGCAGGCTCAGCGGCCACGGCCCACGGGCCCAGCCGCTCCGCGACACGTGGGATCCTCCCGGACCGGGGCACGAACCCGCGTCCCCCGCATCGGCAGGCGGACTCTCAACCACTGTGCCACCAGGGAAGCCCCCCAGAATAATTTTTAACTTCAGAAACTTCAGGACAACAGCTTCCACTCGTGGGCCATGCAGCATTGTGGTGAGGGGAGGGGCTCCAAGGCCATTAAGTGTTCAAATCCCAGCTCTGCTATGTACATGCTGTGTGACCCTGAACAGGTCACTCCACCCCTCTGGACCTCAGTTTACTCATCTGTGAAATGGGCATGGTAACAGTATCAACCTCACAGGCCTGTGGTCGGTGTTAGCAAAGTGCCTGGCATGCTGCAGGTGCTCAGTAAATGCTAATTATTATTATTATTGTTGTTGCTGTTGGTATATTGAGTATCAGAGGCCGGGCTGGGTGGTTTCCAGGAATTGCTTCATGGAGACCCCTGATGGCTCTAGTACGGTTGGTATAACATTCAGTCCATTTTGCAGATGGGGAAACTGAGGGATTGATTGAGGGGCCATGACCCACCAGAGAGGATGTAGCAGCTGGATTGAACCCAGGGCTCTCTGCTACCAGGATTTCGCTCCTGGGGGTTGAGTGTACGAATGGTCACGGCAAGACTGATAATCACCCGTTCCGCCATCCCTCAACCCAGTGAGGCCAGCAGTTATTTAACACCCAGTTCACAGATGGGAAGACTGAGGCCCCAGGTTGGGATGGGACCGCACGGCTCATTGTTTCTCCTGGTTTTCATAACTTTGTGATGCAGCGACTCGGGGCTAGAAGGCTGTTGCCGTCCTCCCTCTGTCCACAGCTGCCCCCAGCCCCTCAGAGCCACCCTGGGAACCCTGAAACCCAAACTGGGCTTTTCTTACCAGCCCCATTGTTCCTGAGCCAAAGACAAGGGTGTCGGCCTCCCAGTCCCTCCCCTGCCCTGAGGGCCCCATAGCCCAGCTCCCACCCCCTAGCTGGTCCCCTGGCTTCCAGTCCCGCCCCTTCAGTATCCTCCTCAAGGTAGCAAAGGAATCTCTCTAGAACCCAAATCTCACTTGTTTCTTCCCTGATCTAAACCAGGGTCTCTCCCCTTCGGCACTGCTGACATTCAGGGCCAGGTCATTCTTTGGGGTGGGGAGGTTCTGGGCGCTGCCAGGTGTGGAGCAGTATTCCTGGCCCCCACCCACTCGATGCCAGGAGCATCCCTCAATTGCGACAACCAAAAATGTCCCCAAACACCGCCCAGTATCCCTTGGGGGGCAAAACCACCCCCAGCTGAGAACGTCTGCTCTAAACCCTTCTATGGCTCCCCAGTGCCCTTGAAATGAAGTCCCCTCCCTTCCATCTCCACCTCTGAGGATCTGCACATGCTGTTCCCTCTGTTTGGAACACCTTCCTCCTGCTTCCAGTAACCTGGTGAACACGCTCGCTCGTCAGGTCTCAGACATCTCCTCCAGGAAGACTCTCCAGATCCGCCCGGATTGACTTCCTCTGGGCTCCTGCCTGCCTGTGCCGGAGGGCCCTGCTCACCCTATCTTCCAAGTGCCTGGTTAACTGTTCATCTTCCCCACTGGACTCTGAGCTCCCCGAGAGGGCGGGACTGAGTCTGTCTTGGCCACCACTGTGTCCCCACTGCCCAGCATAAGGCCTGGCATTCAGTAGAAGCTCAATAAAGAATAAAAGTAGCAAACACCAAGCACTTGTGATGTGCCAGGCACTGTCCTAAGGACTTAAATGAACTCATTTGATCTGCACAACACATCGGAGAGGTGGGTGCTGTGCCCCTTACACAGATGAGGAAACTGAGGCACAGAGAGGCGAAGTCACTTGCCCAAATGGAAACGGTGGAGCCAAGACTAAACCTGCTCAATTGACATTTGTTAGTTTGACGATCATGCAGAGCTGAACCCCACATGCTCTTTGGGGGAGTCTGGGTCACGTCGGGGCCAA